GGGGGGGGGGGGGGGGGGGATATAGCGACCGTTGAGGAATATCGATTGAGGGTCGCTGACGACTGTTCATCTTCTTTAGCGACTGAGCAGCACTAGTGTAATTTAAATTGATTTTTTAAAATTGAAAATTGAAAAAAAGCATCTCATGTAATTTATATAATACTCACTGAATCAAATAACTTCTATTCTCTGCTTTGAAATCTAACTAATTGAATTTGTGATCAGTTCAAAGAAATCAATGCCATGTAATCAATTATCTTATAAATGGTGACATGTGACTAATTAATATTGATATGTGAACATATATGACATACAATATGACCTGTGATTTGTGCATGGCGACGGGTAACCTATGAACTATAGCTTGCGACACGTGAACTATAACATGTGATCTAGGACATACGTGATATGTGAACTATACCTATGAACTATAACCTACGACCAGTAAACATTTGTAACCTATATAATATGATGAGTGAACTACAATATGTGACCAATTAATATTGACATATGAACATATATTAGTGATCTGTAACATGTGAACATTGATCTGTGATATATAACAAGTGAACAAAAACATGTGATATGTTATCAATTTACATGTCACATGTTATTTATTGGTCACAGATTAACACAATTTATTGGTCACAATCCTTGTATATACAATCTCAACCTAATCCAAATCTAGCACTACCAACCACCACCACTCTTATCGCTAACACCATCACAGTGCATAGAATCAGAAAACCACCTACAAAAAACTATCAACAAACAACACCACATCCACCACTACCACTACCACTACCACTACCACCAGAACTTGTGAACGAAAGCAAAATAAGCAAAGTGATAGAAATTAAGTAGGCAAATTGAGCAAAGTGCATAAAGAAATCCACACTACCTACGCAACTTTTGAGAGAGAGAGAGAGAGAGAGAGAGAGAGAGAGAGAGAGAGAGAGAGAGAGAGTGGAATAATGAAGAAGAAAAAAATGGGTAGAAAGAGAAATTAAAGCTTAGTTAGAGAACTCGAGAGAGAAATGTAAACATGTGGGGGAAATTAAATGATAGAAAGAAAAAATAGATAGTATATTAGGTTGGGGGTGGGATGGGGTGGGTAAATTTTATAATAGTATTATTAATATTAATAGTTGAATTATGACATGATTTATGATTAATTAAACCTTACTATGGATGACAATGGGGCGGGTATGAGACGCATTGACCATTCTCACCCCCGTCCTGTCAGGTTTTTTTTGTTACCTTACCTCATCTCCATGCCCGCTTAAAGTGGGATGGGGTGGATTCAGGGCGGGGAAAGTTTTATGCCCCATTTATTGTCCCATTTATTTTTATTTATTATTTATTTTATTTTTTACTTTTAACTTTTTTATATCTTTAGTTAGTAAATATTATTACTTTTTTACCAATTTATTAAAAAAACTTATGTTCTCTTAAAAAATGATGATAAATCTATTATTTTTGTTTGATAAAAAACTTAAATTTAAAATTAACTTTAAACGGGGTGGGTAGAGGGGCGGGGATTATGTTTCTCGTACCCGTCCCATACCCACTTCGAGGCTATGAACATCGTCTCGTCCCGTCCCGTTTACCTTGTTAGACGGGTAATCCTTGGTATCGGGTTAAATTAGTTTTTTTACCATCCCTAAACCTTACATGTGATTTTAGCATTGTAATCTTTAAAAACAGGCTACAGTGTAATTTCCACTTTTTAAAATTATTGTTAAAAATATATTATTTGCAAAATACTGGAAACTTGGGCTAAAGTTTCATTACTGGAACATCGTTATGGTTACTGACTCCACGTATCCATCAGTTTTTAACTATTTTAATGACATGTCTATCAATTTTTTTTAACTTTTGTTACCACAATCTAAAATATGTTATGTATCCGTAAATTTACAAAATACGCTGTGTAAATTGTAAGTAGATATCATAAACAGGGTTGCATTTTTTGTAAATTTCTCCATATTAAGTGGATGTATATCAATTTATTCAATAAGAATGAATATTAATCGTAATTTTCTCTTAAAAATAGTACTCATCTTAGCTTTCAAAATATAAATCCTTATTTTACAAAGAATACCGTTGAATCTATTTCGCCAGATTTGTCGTACAAGAGGTGATTTCTCAACAGAAATCTAAAATTATCAAGTAACTATTGGCAATCGAGCTTAATTTAATGCACGGTGTCCATCAATTCTTGGAGCAGCTATATAAACCAATGAGTGACATAGAAAAATTCAAATAACTGAACAAAAGCTATGGCAGGTATATTGCGAGCACTTGTGTCATCTTCTGTGCTGATTCTTGTGCTTGCATTGCCTATTGCAAATGCCCTCACCATAGGTAAAACTTCGAAACGGTGGAAGAATGGTCGTGCCACCTTCTACGGTGGAGCCGATGCCTCGGGAACTGTGGGTATGTCCTGTCTTTGCTTCTTGTAGAAGAGATTCCTCACCTGCTTTAAGCTTGTTTCTTTTAAAATCTCTTTTGTCACTCAATAATTATATAAATATATTCAAAAGTAACTTCTTAATTTTAGAAGCAGATTTTGACGTTTCAAAATTCCTGTCAAACCTTGTCCGTGTTAGTGTGTGAGAGGCATGAAGAAAACCTTGTCATCCTCTTCTTTTTGCAGGAGGTGCCTGCGGTTTCGAAGACCCGATAAAAGAATATGGGTTGCATACAGTGGCATTGAGCTCTCTATTGTACAAAAACGGGTCAAATTGTGGAGCTTGCTATGAAATCAAATGTGACAACAAAAACAAAATGTGCAAACCGGGAACACCATCCATTTTTGTTACTGCCACCAATTATTGCCCTCCCGGCGGCTGGTGCAGTCCGCCCGCCCGCCATTTCGACTTGTCTGAGCCTGCATTTACTCAGATTGCAGAATACGCTGCTGGAGTTGTTCCTATTCTATTTCGCAGGTATAGAATACTATAATATTGAATAAACGTATTTTCGTAAACTATGGTGTTAAAACAATCAATTGAGGCCTACTAACCGTCTGTTGTTGCAACCATCACGCCAATTTCAAGAGGTGCTATTGTGCACCATTTGGGACCACAAATCTGCTGTTATAACTGTTTTGATTCTCACGTGTACATTACATTATTTTTGCTTGCTCATCACTCATCTAAGTTGTATATATACTCTACCCGTATACCTGTAACATATGTGAAAATTATACTGAAAATCTTCTTCATTTTCTCTGCCTGATTGCTTATCAGTTTCATCTGTTTTTCCTTCTTCTTCTTTTCTATTTTTTAACTTGGTATCAGAGCCTTCAAATGGCTAACACTAATTCTAATGAATCAGCTCAACCAGCATCAAGCACCTTGATGCCCTCAGTCCTTGGAGGAAGTCAGGTTCCATCATTTAGAATAAGCCTCACTCAAGTTCCACCGGTAAAACTTGACAGAGACAATTTTCTGTTGTGGAAAAACATGGTCATGCCAATTATCAAGGGACATAATCTCGAAGGCTACATCACAGGAACTAAAGAATGCCCAGCAGAGTTCATAACTACACAAACAACAGGTGCTGCTGGGACTACAGTTGAAATGATCCAAAATGTTGAGCATGGGAAGTGGATGTCTACTGATCAACTACTGATGGGTTGGTTGTACTCTTCAATGACACCACAAATAGCCATGAGAGTAATGGGTTCCTCAAACTCCTACAGTCTCTGGAAGGCAGTCCAGGAGAGTTTTGGAGTCATGAACAAATCAAGAGTGGCGTTCCTCGTTAGTGAACTTCAAAGAACAAGGAAAGGGTCAATGAGCATTGATCAGTACCTTACCACGATCAAGCAGCTGGCAGATAATCTTGAAATCGCTGGAAAGAGCATTCCTCATAGCGATCTTATCACTCAGGTACTAGCTGGGTTGGACGAAGAATATACTCCTATTGTAGTGCAAATTAACAGTAGAGAATCTGTCTCCTGGTATGAACTACAGCCCTTGCTTATGACTTATGAAAGTAGAATTGAATATCTAAGTGTTGCAAGAAATAGTCTAGCCTCAGTGAACTTGAGTCAGGCCTCAGCAAATTTCGTTCAGAGGTCCAACACCAACAAAGGAGGAAGAACTAACTATGGAGGAAGGAGTAATAATTACAGGGGAGGCAGAAGTAGAGGTAGAGGAGGAAGGCATAATGCAAACAAAGGACCTTGCCAAATTTGTGGTATGAGTAATCACTCTGCAGAAAAATGCTTCAATCGATATGATGAGAGATATATGGGAACTAAACCAGATTACAACTATCATAACAACTCTGCTGGGCCAGCTGCCCTTATAGCTTCATCAAGAACCTTCTCAGAGCCAGCTTCGTTTGCAGACTCAGGGGTAAGCAACCATGTTACCGCTGATAAAGGGAACTTAATCGAGGCACATGAATATGGTGGTAAGGAAGTTCTTACAGTTGGTAATGGAAACAAACTTCTCATTTCTCATATTGGCACACATCACATGAACACTAAGAACAACAAGTCATTAGCTCTTAATAATGTACTGCTGGTTCCTTCAATTGAGAAAAATTTGATAAGTGTTTCACAGTTAACCTCTGATAACAATGTTTTTATGGAGTTTCATTCTGATTTTTGTATTATCAAGGACAAACGGACGAAGCAGGTGCTGCTGGAAGGGAAACTTAGAGATGGCTTATATCAGATTGAGCATTCAGATCAAGTCCAGAATTTATCCTGTCAAAATTCAGTTCATCCAAATAAATTTAATTCCTCAGTTTTTGTTGTTGAGTCCAAAACGTTTGATAGTACCACTGATTGTGAGTCCAAACTGAAACTATGGCATATGAGGCTTGGACATCCTGCAAATTCTGTGATGTCACAAGTGCTCAAGCTTTGTAATGAAAAACTTCGTATCAATGCAACTAGTCAATTCTGTGATGCCTGTCAAGTAGGAAAATCACACCTGCTACCTTTTAAACTCTCTGTCTCACATGCATCTGCTCCGCTTGATTTAATTCATACTGATGTTTGGGGTCCCGCACCTATACAATCAACATCTGGTTTCAGATTTTATATTCTCTTCATTGATGATCATAGTCGGTACACGTGGATTTACCCCATGAAAAACAAATCTAAAGCCTTAAGTTTATTCACCCAGTTCAAAAGTCTAGTTGAAAACAAATTCAATAGGAAAATCAAAGCACTACAGTCAGATTGGGGTGGTGAATATAGAGCCTTTACCAGTTTAGCTCAACAATTTGGTATTGACATGAGAGTTTCTTGTCCTTACACCTCAGCACAAAACGGTAGGGCTGAAAGGAAACATAGACACATAACTGAAACTGGCCTTACTCTTCTCGCTCAAGCCAAAATGCCTCTACATTACTGGTGGGAGGCTTTTCACACAGCCACCTATCTTATAAACAAGCTGCCCACACCTGTTCTTAAAATGAAGTCACCTTCACACGTTCTAAATAATGAGCAAACTGACTACAAACACCTTAAACTTTTTGGATGTGCTTGTTTTCCCTGCCTTAGACCTTTTCAAGGTCACAAATTCAGTTTTCATTCTACCAAATGTGTATTTCTTGGTTTCAGCAGTTCACACAAAGGTTATAAATGTCTTAGTCCCACTGGTAGAATCTACATATCTAGGCATGTGATTTTCAATGAAAAAGAATTCCCTTTCCAATATGGCTTTCTTAACAAGAACAACAACTCATCAAATTCTGAAACTATCATTCAATATTTGCCCATCCATACCTCCTTAATCTCTGATCCCATATGCTCATCTGATACAACTCATGTCTATGCTACTTCACCAGCAGCATCTCAAGAGTCTGAATTGCCTGAAAGTGAGACACATGAGACCTCAGACACAGGTAGTGAAAATGTTCAAGCAGAAATTCAAGGAAGCACTGAAAATAGAGGCACACAGCATACTGAACTGGTTAATGAGGCTGATCAAGGTGAAGTTGAGCCCAGGTCACAGAACATTGAGCACCACATGGTTACTAGAAGTAAAGCTGGGATTTTCAAACCAAAGGTATACTCAATTCAGTGCCAGGAATACAAATTTGATCTGAACAAAACTGAACCAACTGATCTGTCTGAGGCTTTATCTAACAAAAATTGGAAAAAAGCCATGGAAGAGGAGTACAAAGCCTTGATGAAAAATAAAACCTGGAAACTAGTGCCACCATTAGAAAATCAGAAGGTAATAGGGAACAAGTGGGTGTTCAGACTGAAACAAGACATTGAAGGAAGAGTTCTGAAGTACAAAGCCAGACTTGTTGCCAAGGGATTCTTGCAAACTTCAGGTGTTGATTACCATGAAACGTTTAGTCCTGTAATAAAAGCATCCACTCTCAGAATAATCCTCTCACTTGCTGTCTCGAAGGGCTGGAGTATCAGGCAGGTTGACATCAACAATGCATTCTTAAATGGAAGGCTAGATGAAGTTGTGTATATGAATCAGCCAGAGGGTTTTGTTGACAAAACCAACCCCACGTTTGTTTGCAAACTGGAAAAGGCCTTGTATGGCCTCAAGCAAGCTCCAAGAGCCTGGTATGAAAGGTTGAAGAAGACACTCTCAGATTGGAGATTTGTCAAGTCTAAGGCAGACAACTCTCTATTCTTCTATATGAACAAAGGTCTAGTAATTTTTGCCTTAGTGTATGTGGATGACATAGTAATAACTGGAAATGATCAAAACATGCTGCAAAGTTTCATTGACAAACTAAACACGCAGTTTGCACTAAAGGATATGGGGGAATTGCATCAGTTTCTTGGAATTGAGGTTAGAAGGTGTGAATCAGGAATGATGCTTACTCATGTTAAGTACATAAATGACTTGTTAAAAAGGTTTAGTCTTGAACATCTTAAACCTTGTTCCACACCTATGACAATAGGAAAGTATATTTCTAAGAATGAAGGTGAGAAAATGGTGAATCCTTCATTATATAGAAGTGCTATTGGAGGGCTGCAGTATTTGGGACATACACGACCTGATATAGCGTTTGCAGTAAATAAGTTAAGTCAATTCTTACAAACTCCTTCAGATGTGCACTGGAAGGCGGTAAAAAGGATTTTTAGATATTTAAAAGGAACTGTTGAACAAGGTTTGTGGATACAAAGAAGTGACAGAATGAACATAACCGGATTTGCTGATGCAGATTGGGCCTCTTGCCCTGATGACAGAAGATCTACAACCGGTTATTGCATCTATTTAGGTGATACTTTGGTAGCCTGGTCATCCAAGAAGCAGCAGGTTGTAGCAAGGTCTAGTACTGAATCAGAATACCGAGCCTTGGCACAAGCTTCTGCTGAAATAGCCTAGATTGAGTCCTTACTTAAGGAGATCAAAATACAGCCAAATGCATCCCCTGTTCTTTGGTGTGATAATCTCAGTGCAAGTGCATTAGCTTCTAATCCCGTTTACCATGCTCGAACAAAACATATTGAATTGGATATTCATTTTGTTAGAGATAAAGTTCTTGAAGGGAAATTGCAAATCCAATATGTTCCCTCATCAGACCAAATTGCAGATCTACTGACCAAGCCTCTTGCTCAAACCAGGTTTCTCTTTCTCAGGGACAAGCTTGGAGTTAAGGAATAAACTCCAGCTTGAGGGAGGATGTTAAAACAATCAATTGAGGCCTACTAACCGTCTGTTGTTGCAACCATCAATCCAATTTCAAGAGGTGCTATTGTGCACCATTTGGGACCACAAATCTGCTGTTATAACTGTTTTGATTCTCACGTGTACATTACATTATTTTTGCTTGCTCATCACTCATCTAAGTTGTATATATACTCTACCCGTATACCTGTAACATATGTGAAAATTATACTGAAAATCTTCTTCATTTTCTCTGCCTGATTGCTTATCAGTTTCATCTGTTTTTCCTTCTTCTTCTTTTCTATTTTTTAACTTATGGTATCAAATTTTGAATGTTGTTGCAGGGTTCATTGCAAGAAACAAGGACGCATTAAATTTACCTTAACAGGGAGTCCTAATTTCAACCTGGTGTCGATATCGAACGTTGGAGGGGCAGGAAGTGTAAAAAAGGTGGAGGTCAAAGGTGACAACAAGTTGAATTATTGGACAGAATTGAAACGTAATTGGGGTACCAAGTGGGATACCGATGCAACACTTGTTGGCGAGACACTAAGTTTCCGTATAACCACTGGCGATGGCAGAACCATAGTTTCATCGAACGTTGCCCCTAATAGTTGGCAATTTGGTCATACCTACGAGGGCAAAAATTTCCGCCTATAGCTTCAGTTTCTTTCTTTTTCTCTAATTTCATTTTACAGCGTTGTATTTTTTAAGGTACACGTATTATACCTTAAAAATACATTGACTCGTGTATTTTGTGAAGCGATCAAAATGTATAGAGGTATTTTGCAATAATAATGACTTTCTGCATTGAATTTTACAAACTAGACCATACGGTAGCCTCACATCGTTGTTTTTTTCTAAGTTACCAATTGTGAGAACCTGTTATAAACTTTAGTGACTAAACGGGCCGAAGAAAAACTTTACTGACCAACTTGAATTTTTGTACAAACTTGGTTCTTGACTGTCAGAAGCACGAGGATTTTCATTAGAATGGACAGTATTTAACGACGTTAATTTTTGTTTCATTAACCAATCAAGTAGAGAAAATGTTAACCCCCGTTAGTTTTTTTTGTTTCATTAACCAATTACTAACTCAACAGCACGATAAGAAGTCCAAAATTCAAATAATTAAAGTGAAAAATAAAAAGAAAACCACATATCCCTTTCGCCATTTCCCTTTTGTTATAGAATACTAGTGACAACTCCCGTTACGGTTGTATTTGTCGAAAAAAGTTTTTCAAAATTAATTATTAAAATATTATTTACGATCAATCATGTTACAAGAATGAATGAATGAGCTAGCTTTGATATCTATTGAATAAGTTAGAACATACTGATTATGAAAGTTTAATTATTGGGTTTGCTTCTAAAAATACGAGAAGAAATATTCTTACTTGATTTGTTGCATTTCAAGGTTTGCACGTTGTATTTGCTACTTTTTATTCCAATGTTTGCTCATATGGAATTACAGAAGATATTAGTGGCTTGAATGGTTTTTCATTTATAACATGTGACTTTTGATGAAAATTTGAGAGATATTTCGAACTTGTTCTTTTCTTATCTACGACATGTAAAAAACTATATAAATATTTAAATGTCATATTTTGTAATGAAATAATACTATTGAAATATATTTTTTCTTAATATATTTTATAATTACAAGGGGCACCATTTTAAAGTGTCACATAAGCATCCAAAATCTCATGGCCGACCCTGACAAGACGATTTAGTTATTTATTAATAATTCTTATCCTTTAATTAAATTTGTGTTAACAATTAACAGAACGATTTTTTTACTAACCACTTCCGGTTCCACACAAATAAAACTTCATTATCTGATATTGACCCTGTCTCGTAGATTTTTGTAACATAGTGAAAGATAATGATTGCCACCTATTTTTCCAAAGTTCTAAGTAAAATAATCAAGATATGGTTTGTAAATTTTAAACATTATCGTCGAACTATATACTTTGTGATTGTGCCGACTTCGTCCCTGATGATTCCTCTCCTTTATTTTGTAATTTTTGAATCACCTATTGATTAGTCGACAACAACTATACGAGACCCAAAAGTCAGAACCCTTGTCTGAAACTCGATACACCACACGTCATTTTAATTGATAATCTTGCCACGTACATGCAATCATCATTTAGCTAAAATGGTCCTACAGACAGCAATTACCAGGACTGATAATTGTTCATTAGACCTTAAGGCTTCGAAGAATTAGTGACATCTGAAAAGATGATAGCAATTGGATTTGAAGAAGCCCTACTTGCTCAATTTTTATTTTTACTTTTTCTGTTTTCATAAACTTAACTCCAACTTAAACTTAATTTTGATCCCACCGCTCAAGTTTTACAACTATTAAAATATTAATTTTATAATGTTAGTAAATGGTTTTCCCGGAAATGTGCTTCAGACGGGGATGCGGTTTGCTTTTGTTAAAATATTGGGGCTCCAATCACATCAAAATCGGGCTCAGTCAGCACCAAACTTGACACCACAATCAACACCAAGAACTCCCAAGTTTTTCCCAAACCGGTTGCTTCTAAGGTGCTCGCAAAGGGCAATGGGTGGGTGAAAGCCACAAAGGCTAAGGATAAGGGGGAGGAGGATGACACAAAGCCAAAGGGAAAGTACAAAGCCGATCGACCTCTCTTCTCTTTTTTTCACAAGGCTGCCCAACATTCACACACACTCTAACACAAGAAAAAGGGGCTGCATATATAAGTCATAATGAGTGGGCTTTAGGTCAAGGAATAGAGGCCCAATAGATAATAAGTAAATGGACTGTCAACCCTAAAGCCGTCCAAGATAATGAGTCGGGTCATGAGCAACACCAATTAAATTAGGCTACTACCAATGACCCAGATAAGTTGTAGTAATGGTTTGTTCGATTGTGGTGTCGACACTACACTTCACTCATCGGTCGAAGCCTATGAAGTACAATCCAAACAAAAAATCGGTTTAGCATCATTGCCCGAATTTATTGGGTATCAAAACCCAACAGCATCCATTTCGGTAGTCATCTAAACTAATATTTTAGCACCACGATTTCTAAATAGCATTTTATAAAGCTCAATTTGGACATATTAGATGTTCAACTCTGTGGATGCAGTGTTCTTAATATATATGGAGACGAATTCATTTGAATAAAAATATTTAAAACGCCTATCAAATTGTACTTAAAAACTGAAATATGTATGTTTTATTAGAGGTTTGGTGTTTGTGGTTCTCATGATGGATGACTTCCACATAAAGGGTGGCAATGTAAACTAAAAACTCTAAATTATTAAAATAGACACCACTAGTGTAAAATATGAAGGCTTTGGATTTTATTGACAATCACAAAATATAGCGGTGGAAGGCGGTGACAGCCGGACAAATGTAGTGGAGATGCTTTTGGAAAATGACAAATTGCCGGACATTTTTTTGTATGAATAATGATACATAGTACCTGATGTTATAACGTCAATTCAGGTGATGCTATATGACAGGATTAATGAAATGTGAAATTAAGCGACTCATTTAATTGTACTTACTATTTAATTTCACATTAGTGTTACATAAATTGATGTTTTAACACTAGTGGTGCTAAATTTCATTATTTTTTTGGATTATTAACTATTTTATGACTTATTAGGGTTGTTAAAATGGGTCAAGCTGGCTCGTTTCATTAAAATGTGGCTCGATTTGCCCTTTGGCAACTCGTTCCCGGCTCATCATCATACATTTTCACTCCATTATAATGAGTTGACGATTTGCTCATACAAGACATTCACTTCTCGTGTTCGATGCAAGGCGATACCCTCACTTAAGATCCCTATACTTTATACACATTTTTTGTGCACTATGAACCGCTATGTCACATACTGGATTTGATCCGATTGAGCCCCTTTTCATTCTTTCTACTTCTTTAATTTTAATTTCGATCAGTATTACTTTTAGAGCATGCACTATGTGCCAGGTTAGCTAATTCAATCCTGAACCAAAAGGCTTGTGAAAAGAATTAATCAAAATGTACATTATTGTTGACATTACGTGAATTGTTAAAATCCGTGTCATTAATTTTATGGTGGATCCAAATGGCCCATGGTCCAAGTGTTTCCTTGTTGCACAATGGGTTGGTGTAGTGCTACACAGAGGACCCCATTTGACGTTTTTATCAATTTTCTAACGTGCCCATGTTTGTTTGGTGGGACTTAAAATTTATATTATAATTCAAGTCGAAATCAACAATTAATTTGAATCACATATTTGATGGGGATTTACAATTTTTCAACTAAACATTTCACCTACTTTTATCAAATCTATTAAAAATTTGATTTTAATGCTCACTCATTTGCATTTGTTCTCTCTCGCGGTCACGATTTTTATATTCCTCGATTGGTGCTTGCCCTAGTGCTAATCATCTATCATGATTAAGATCGGCTAGTGGAAGAAGGGGCACCAAATATGGTATAGTAATTAAGATATTATTTAGTCTTGAGAATAAAACAACTAAATTGACTTTTACTTAAGAAACCAAACGGTCACTACCTAAAAAATATTAGGTCATGTTTGATTGTAAATTTTTCAATGAAAAATGTCACATCCGAAGAAAATGAATTCCACTTTGACCGTTTAATTTCAACGTAGAAATGGAAACCGAATTTAAAGATACAACAATTATGAGCAGCATTTTCTTTGTTTCTATTGAAAACGAATTTCTATGTGTTTGGTGAGTTTTTAATTTTCAACTAACTTGGAATTGAAATTTCTTTCCACTTTTATCTATCAAAAGTACACTTAGTGCTACTAATTGAAGAAGATAATTAATTATTAATTAACAACCATAGATATTACACTATTAAACAATTATTATATTTTAAGAAGTTTCAGTTGAAGCGTTCGGATTTCATTTCATTTCTCCTTTTGGCATAATCAAATCCATCAAAAAGCTCAAAATTAACTGAAAAAGGAAAAACATATCTTTTCACCGTCTGTTTTGATTGTGGTTTTCTTCTCTCTCTTTTATTCTCTCCCTTTTCTTTGCATTCAATTCAAGGTAGCCTGTTTCTCTCTCTACAGTCATAGATTTTTTTTTTAAGAAAAGTTCAAATTTTGGAAGGAAACATTAGGAAAATTTTGTAGCTTGAGAAGGAGTCAACGTACCGAAACAAGAGTTTAATCTCAATTCTCTCATTGAGACAGTAAGATTTCACATGGCAAGCAAACATTAACTTTGTAAGATCGTTAAACTATTGTTGTTTTATTTCATTGTCCTTCTGTTCTTTCTGTTGATGTTTGGTTGTTCGTTTTTTTTTTATTTTTTTTGGAACTTGGGTCACTTTTTCTTCGTTCGAAAATTTTCCGCCTAATTTGGCCATACATCGGGAGGATATCTGGTCCTTTACACATGGATGCTTGCAAAATAGACATTGTTTAGTCTACACGACATACAGCCAGACAGTCAGACAGCCAAGCCGAAGAGAGGATGGAGTTCAGCTGCCAATTTGACCTGGTCAAGTTAGAACGTTGTTCTTGGAACGAATGTAAAAGTAATAAATTTGAAGGGGAGTTTTAGGTATACCCTTCTTGTCTTTGGGCAGTTGGTTACCATTGGAGGGAATGACCTGTGGGGAGGAGGAAGTATAGATGGAAGAGGGGAACCATTG